ACCCACTCTGGGCCCCTCAGGCCCCAGGCCGATGCTCTATCCACTGAGCCAAACCGGTTTGGGCTGTTTGCTGAATTTTTTCCTCTGCTATTTGGAGTCCATACTCCTTAAACAATTTCCTAGCCTCATGCAACATATTATCTACCTGAGGTTTTTCTTTATGTGCTAATAAGATATCATCCATGTAATAACAAATGCCTGTAACAAACATCTGCCTTAGTATTTGTAAAGGTTGCTGAACATAAGCTTGACACATAGTAGGACTATTTAACATATCCTGGGGAGAACTCGCCATTGATATCTCTGATTAGGTTGGCTATTATTTAATGAAGCAAATTTGTCACAATCCTGAGATTGTAAAGGGATTGTATAAAAACAGTCTTTCAAATCAATAATTATCAGATGCCAATTTTTAGGAATCAATGCTGGATTTGGAATTCCAGGTTGTAAAGGTCCCATAGGCTCAGTAATCTCATTAATCCATCTTAAATCAATTAGCATTCTCCATTTACCTGATTTTTTCTTTATAACAAAGACAGGGGAATTCCATGGACTAGAGCTGGCTTCTATATGCCCTAGTTGTATCTGTTCTTTAATAATGATTTGAAGCGCTTCTAACTTTTCTCTTGTTAGGGGCCACTGCTGTACCCATACTGGTTTAGTTGTTTTTCAATTTAATGGTAGGGCGAAGTGCTTTGGAGTGGCCCCCTTTATAAATTTTGGTCCTGAATACTGGTGCTAGCACCAGCTTGAAAAATCATTTGTCTATGGCCTTTCTGTAAAGAAGGTATAGTAATTGTAGCCCCCCATTGTTGTAAAAGAGCAACCTCAAAGGAATTTTTTCATAATCTTCAGAATCAGACTGAAAAGGCTGTAAAGCTAACGTTACTAAATTAAAAATAGCCCATACATCAGCCTCTATAGCATTTGCCTGTTGATGAGCCCGCCTTAATGACTTTCCAACTTGTTTCCACAACTTAAGATTTAGCTGCTGTTTGCCTTCTGGGTGATACCAATAACAGTGCTGCTGGACTGATGTAAACAAGTTTTTAAAAGCCTCATCCTTCACTTTTACCCCTGAGCTCTGTAATAATGATCGCAAGACAGCGATGTATTGACTCTGTAGGAATGGGGAGTCCCCCATGACTCTGTCTCTGCTGGGGTCCAACCCCAGCAGGTCCAGGGGTCCCCAAAGGTGTGGACGGAGTCGGCGAAGAAGGAATGACACGGAGACAGCGTTTAGTTGATCAGCAGCCTTGCCAGGATCTCCAGCCAAGTTCTGGTTAGGATCTCCAGCCAGGTTCTGTGTCCATGTTCTCTTGCTAG